TGTCCGTCAACATATCTAATTCTTTATTGCATTTTTCTCATGAGGAGATTATTAATAATGCAAACCAATTAGGAGTTACACTAGGTGTTACTGATAGTGAGATCTCCAATTTGGTGAATGATATGTTAGATTTGGAGGCGGAGCGTGCCTTAGAGACTATTCGTAATCTTGCATCGGTTAAACCCATGAACGATGAGGAGATTGATGCGTTAGGGGTTAGAGTGCTAGATAATCTGTGTGCGGATCTAGCACCTTCTAATCATGAGTCTGAGGACGATGATGTGCCCCTAGATGTTGCAGCTGTTAGTTCCGTTGAGCCCGGTTATGAGGACCGGGTGACAGAGCCCACTAAGCCAAAGCGTAAGTGGAAATGGAAGATTTATCCCGATTCTGCAGTTCGTAGGAGTGCTAGGATTCGGACTACTAAAAAATTCCATGACGAAATATGAAAGGAATCTTTTGGAATATCAGAGGTCTGAAAGACTTGGCTAAAAGAAGGTTTCTTGCTGAGGCTTCTCTCGAACATCGGTTAGATTTTATTGCTCTAGCGGAAACCGGTAGAGATAATTTTGCGCCGCGGTTTCTATCCTTTCTTGCGGGTGGTATTGATTTCGATTGGCATGGCCTCCCTCCACGAGGAAGATCGGGAGGTATCTTACTGGGTGTGAGATGCGATTCCCTTGAAGTCCGGAGTGTAGTAATGGGCGACTTTGCGGTAAAGTTTCGAGTTAGGTCTAAAGTTGATTGGTTCAACTGGGCTTTGGTGGCGGTTTATGGTGCCGCACAGCCCGAGCTTAAACCGGAGTTTCTGGCGGACCTTGTTCGAATCTGTGGGTCCGAGCAGCTTCCGATTTTGGTCGGGGGTGATTTCAATATCATTAGGAGGAGAGAGGAGAAAAATAATGATAACTTTGACGGCAGGTGGTCGTTTATGTTCAATACCATTATTGAAAGCTTGGATCTGAGGGATATAGAGCTTTCTGGTAGAAAGTTTACCTGGGCCAATGCTCTGCCAAATCCGACATATGAAAAGCTTGATCGAGTTCTCGCGAGCGTGGAGTGGGAACAGAAGTTCCCTCTTGTTACGGTACAAGCTCTCACGCGGGGAGTTTCCGATCACACACCATTGTTCGTCGACTCAGGGGAGCCGAACCATATGGGAAACAAAAACACCTTCTCATTCGAGATGGCTTGGTTCGAACGCGAGGGGTTCTTGGACCTCATAGCCAGGGAATGGGCTAAGGGTGTAGGAGGTAGGATGGCGGTCGAGCGTTGGCAGAATAAAATTAGGCATTTGAGAAGTTTCTTACGGGGTTGGGCTAAGAACCCCAGTGGGGTGTATAAGATCGAGAAGGATAGGCTCCTTTCTCTTGTACAGGCCCTGGACATAAAAGCCGAATCTGCGATTTTGCTGCCTCCTGAGCTCCAGGTTAAAAATGAGGCGGAGAAGAGGTTGAAAGAACTTCTCCGCGAAGAAGAATTGAAATGGGCTTTGCGAGCTAAGGTCCGCAAAGTGGTCCAAGGGGACGCGAATACTCAATTCTTTCACCTCATTGCTAATGGTAAGCACAGAAAGAAGCGGATCTTTCAACTTGAACAGGATGAGAGTACTATTTTAGGTCAGGATAATCTCAAAACCTATATTACTGATTATTATAGACAGTTATTTGGACCTTCGGAGGATAATTTTGTGTCCTTCGATGAGTCCAGGACTGAGGATGTGCCTCAATTGTCTGATGCCGATAATGATATCCTGGTTGCCCCATTCTCAGAGAAGGAGGTGTTTGATGCTATTGCACTAATGAAAAACAATAAGGCTCCCGGACCGGATGGGTTCCCGGTCGAGTTCTATAAAAAGTGCTGGCACATTATTAAGGGGGATTTACTACCTATGTTTCATGATCTATTCTCTGCACAGCTTCAATTATTTCACTTGAATTTTGGAACTATCACATTGCTCCCTAAGAAAACGGATGCTGTGAGAATTGAGCAGTTCAGACCGATCTGCCTCCTCAATGTTAGTTTCAAAATCTTCACCAAGGTCGGGACCAATAGGCTCACAGTGATTGCGCATTCTGTGGTGCAACAATCCCAAGCTGCTTTCATGCCGGACAGGAACATCCTTGAAGGGGCGGTCGTTCTTCACGAAACGCTCCATGAAATCCACTCCAAAAAATTAGATGGAGTAATTTTTAAGGTGGATTTCGAAAAAGCGTACGATAAGGTCAAGTGGACATTCCTCCAACAGGCATTGCGTATGAAAGGATTTGATGAAGCCTGGCGCCGACAGGTCGAATCCTTTACGCAAAAAGGGAGTGTGGGAATTAAAGTGAATGACGATATAGGTCATTACTTCCAGACACATAAAGGCCTCAGACAAGGAGATCCGATGTCCCCTATACTATTTAACATTATGGTGGATATGTTAGCAATTTTGATAGGAAGGGCTAAGGAGAATGGTCAAGTGGGTGGTTTGGTACCTCATCTTGTTGATGAAGGTGTATCCATCCTTCAATACGCTGATGATACCATCATCTTTATGGAGCATGATTTGGCCAAGGCGAGAAATATAAAGCTGGTGTTATGCCTTTTTGAACAATTGATCGGGTTAAAGATTAACTTTCATAAGAGCGAGTTGTTCTGTTTTGGTAGAGCCAAAGACGAACAGGAGTCTTATAGGCAATTGTTTGGGTGCGAGTTGGGGAGTTTACCTTTCTCATACCTTGGTATTCCGATACACCATCGTAGGCTGACAAACAGAGAATGGAAGTGCATCGAGGATCGATTTAAGAAGAAATTGAGCTGCTGGAAGGGTAAGCTCATGTCATACGGAGGCCGTTTGATCTTGATTAATTCGGCGCTCATGAGTATACCTATGTTCCTCTTATCGTTCTTTGAGGTCCCAGTTGGTGTTAGGAAAAGACTAGACTTTTATCGGTCGCGCTTCTTTTGGCAGGGTGATGAAATTAAAAGAAAATACCGGTGTGCTAAATGGGACATCATCTGTCGACCGAAAGACCAAGGGGGTCTTGGTATTGAAAATCTTGAAGTTAAGAACAGATGCCTTCTTAGTAAGTGGTTGTGGAAGCTTTCTTTCGGGACTGAGGCCATGTGGGCACAGATCCTCCGCAGCAAGTACCTCCAGACTAAAACATTGTCCCAGGTCACAGTCAGGCCGACTGATTCGCCTTTCTAGAAAGGACTAATGAAAGTCAAACAATCAATGTTCAATAGGATGAGGTTTGTTATTGGAAACGGTGCAAGTACACGTTTCTGGGAGGATACTTGGCTTGGCGACTCACCTTTAGCCATTCAATATCTATCTCTATATCGGATTGCTCAACGATGTGAGGTGTTTGTGGCAACAATATTTCAATCTATCCCCCTTAATATTCAGTTTAGACGGTCGCTAGCGGGCAATCGTTGGGAAGAATGGCTCCATCTAGTTAGGAGACTGATGGAGGTTCAACTTTCTCACCAACCTGATGAATTACGCTGGAAGTTGACTAGATCAGGAGTATTTTCAGTTAAATCAATGTATATTGATGTTATTAATTCGAACTCCATTCCAACTTCCAAGTATGTCTGGGCTGTCAAAGTTCCTTTAAAAAATAAAGTGTTTATGTGATTTGTCCATAAACAAGTTATTTTAACAAAGGACAACTTGATAAAGCGTAATTGGACAGGACCTACTAGGTGTAGTTTCTGTGATCGGGATGAGACGATTAAGCATCTATTCTTTGATTGCCCGTTGGACAAAGTTCTTTGGCGGACGGTCCATATTGCTTTCAATATTACTCCACCGACTTCTGTCAACGCATTATTTGGGACATGGCTTAATGGGGTTGAGCCTGACTTAGCAAGACATATTCGGGTTGGAGTTTGCGCTATGTTGTGGACTATCTGGAATTGCAGAAATGATTTGGTTTTCAACAGAACATCACGGATTCATTTTTTGCAGGTTATTTTCCGAGCTACATCAGTCATCCGTTCGTGGTCGCTACTCACTCCGATGGAGGCCAGAGAGCATTTGGTTACTGGATCTATCCGTTGGGAGACGGTAGCTCGGGATATCTTCAACCGGTTTGGATGGCGGTCATGCAATAGGATAGGCAATTAGTTTACCTATCTTTTTTAGCCAGCTGGTTGTGGCGTCTTTTCCTGGCTAGTTTGTGTATCTAGCCTTTTAGGCTCTGTGTGAGCTGTCTTTTTCTTTTTTCAGGTGGAGACTTTGGAACCTTGTTGGCACTTTTTGTTATTTGGTTAATAAGATGGCCGTATGCATCACTCTGTTGCAGAGGCCGGGGAGCCCCCCCTTTCGAAAAAAAAAACTTCGCCCAACCCCCTCCCCCCTAGTAATTGATCACAAAGAGGCCTTCAGGCATCCATGCTTAGTTAGGCCCGGTCCTAAAAACCAAGACCATGTCCTGATCAGCAGCACACGTCTCACAAGATCGATCAGAAAACACGGCCAAGTGAGTGTGCTCCTATCGTTTGGATTTGAGCGCGTACTTGTCATTGGCGGCTAGAGTAGATAGCTAGGCCCAGGCCGGCACGAGATGATCTGGAATAGCCTGCGCACCAACCAGCCTGAAAGCAATCTCCCCAATCATGCAATGCAAGCAATCCACTAACAAGAGTTCATTCAAGAGGAAGCAAAGACCAGGCAGGCCCTACTACTGTTGCACCCACACAAGGCCATCAGCTAAGATCCCAAAGCACCAATCGCATCAACAGGAGGCAAATCAAATCTTAGTACACGTCGTGGTGATCTCTGTCACAAGCCCACAGGGACTTGTACACATCACCACACACTTGATTGACATGATATAATTTCACAGTCGTTTTCTCTCTTTATGCTCTTGACACATACAACACATTCAGGGGGATAAGGATTGGAAAACACATATGATACACACTCACTATATATGCTCCATTCGTTCATCATCACATTCAGCCCAACAGTTGTTGATTCTTCCAGCTTCCTTGCATCCATGCATCTATAATTCCAGTACCAGGTCTGCATCATCAAAGTCACAAAGACGTGAAGGTGTGAGTGTAAGTACAGTGCAATCTGCAGCATCATACAGTAGTATCTGCTTGAAGATTCTCCATATGATAGTAAGGAACATATCTCTCGCTGTCAAGTGTCCATTTTAGTGATGGGATTACTGTGCATATGCTAGATTGATATAGCTGGCGAATTCTTGAACATTCTCCAAAAATACTAGGGAATATCTCACTGTCAAGTGTCCATTTAGGTGATGGGAAAGGTTGTTACTGTACATGCATGCTAGGTGGTTTCGAGAATGAATGATGGGCTTGCACAAGCACTATTAGTAACACTGACTGACCCACTAGAAAGAGAAAGAAAAGCCAATATTAATTAATTGCACTCACAGTCTGCGTCGGTTTTGATCCAGTGGCCACTCTTGTCGCCGTTGAGCTCTTCACCGCCGTCGTCAACAGGGGAGGCGCTGAAGGAGCGCTTCGTGCAGCAGCAGCCGAAGCTCAGCCTGCGTGGCCCGGTCTTCTTCGGAGTCGGTGAGGGCACCGACTCGTCGGTGGCACCGCCACCGCCGCCGTTGTCTGGGGTACCCCGCTTGCGGTTCTTCTTGGTCAGCATAGTGCTTTCAGGGTAGACTTTCCTGTGGAATATTTTCAGGATCTGCAATACACATGAACAAATTAACGCTTCTTCCTTCGAATGAACTCTCCCTTGAAAATTAAAATATATATTCCAATTTAAAGCATCATGTCAAAGGCTAAGGCCAGGCATCTTTCTTAAGTGGCTAAGGATAAACTGACAAATGAAATGGTCCATCAAGAAAGCTGGGATGCATAAAGATAGCATTAGACAGGAGTTTCCAAACAAATTGCCATGTCAACTCAATGCGCCCACTTTTACCAACAAGTTGACAATACCTAGTTGGCACTTGGCAGCCGTACGCATTAATTAGAAGCTAGATTGGAATGGACGTTTCCCATAGGAACATAATAACTAATAATTATGATAATGATGGTTGAAACGAAATGATATTACTGAAGCAGTGGGATATAGAGGAGCACTAGATCATCTAATTGCAAGGTCTCTTCTGATCAGTAATTGGACTTTCAGTGCTGCTTTGATCTTTTGCTTGGTAATTAAGTACTGTTGGACCAATTTCCAACACACCTATGCTGAACCCTAAAGCAAACTGCCACCGAAAAACAGAAATGATTTTTTTTCTTTCGAAATTGTAACGTGCTCAGAGGTGATTGATTGGACAAAAGATCATAATAATTTCTGATAATTCTACTGAAAGGTAAATCAAATAATTAGGTCTAATGGTTTTTTTTCTTCCTTTTCATCCCTGATTTTTATGGATTGACATTATTTTAGATTCATAAATACATAAATGTTCCAGATAAACTCAGTATATTTTTCAATTTTGATAACTAGTTGGGTAACTGCTTAAAATGTTCAATTAAGCTATAATTTAACTACTTGTGTTTTAAATTTGAAAACTTAGTGCAACGTATAGTGGGATAGTAAGTAGGGATGGTATTATTGTGATGTGATAATTGTGTTACTCAACTCAAACTAAAATATGGTCCGCCTGTGTCTTAGGATCGGTTCAAAGTGCAAGTTGCTATTCTCATTAAATCAAATTGTATTTCCAAAAAGCTAGTGGAGACACAGAAATATTTCCATGGACTAAAAATATCAAAAATGGTTAAAACATATTGATCAGTCATACAGAACGTAATACATATGCAATGGTCAAAGCCCAAAGAGAGAAACTCAAACAATAACATCGATGTTTAGGAATTAACAGAAGGTAGAGTAATTTACAGCCAAAGATCAATTAATTTGTCGAATTTATAGACGATGTGCCAAAGGAAACGACGAACAAGAAGTGTACCTTTTGAAACTTGCTCTTGGCTGTTGCATTGGCTGGCACTCCGTCGCCGCCATGGCCTTTCTCATCCTTCACCCTCCACTTCTTTGTCCTTTTGTGACCGCCATCTCCGCCTTTCACTACTTTCCCTTCCTCCCTCTCCCCACCATCCTCGCTCTCCTGGACGGCGACTAGTGCGCCCTTCTCTTCCGTGAAGCGTGTCCGCATGAACAGCTCACCGAGCGAGGCACGACGTCCACCACTGTTTCGCTTCTCTGGCCATGATTCAGTGTCGCTGCACACTGGGGAACCAAGTAGGAAGCCCTGCAGTGGGCAATCGATGCCCATGGCGAAGCTTACCCGCGCCGACGGCACGTCGCTGCCCCCGAGGACCTTCTCCAACTCAGCGCTTACCAGCATGAGGTCGTCCTCCGTGGTGGCAATGTCATCTTTCTCCGCGATGGCCTCGACGCTGACCATCACCTTCTCCGCAGTGGCGGACTCAAGCTGGGGGAAGGTGAAGGTAGGTGTGAGAGCGCCATCATCAACATTGCCATTGTCAACTTCGTCGATGGTGCCATCGATGTTGTCAAGGTCAATGTCGACGCAGTCCTCATCATCGACGTCATAGTCTTCGTGGCCGTCGTCTTCTCCGGGGACATTAACAGCGGCGAAGCCTAGCGTGCCAATGGTAAGGAGGCCGCTGCCGCCGAAGGTGAAGAGGTCGTCGGCGTTGACCGGCGGTGAAGGATGGTTGGCGACGAACGCATCATCATCGTAGTACTCATGGTCCTGCGAGGCTAGTCCAGCGATGCAGTTGCAGGCCCCACCTACATTGGACATATTAAGAACCATACATTTGCTAAATCATTTCAAGCTTCTTCCTTTTGGGGGATAGACCAATCCAACTGTTAATTATGTGATATTCATAAATCCGTGTTAAAAAAAAAGAGATATCAATTGACATGCATATATAGAGGCTTGACAACTTCAATGGTTAGATGGGAAATCCGTGATCCAGGAATACATACGGGCATTTGGAAACAGAAGGGAAAAAACACATTGGACAAGGTTGGTTGGAGTATATGCTTAAAGAAATACTCCGTACTATCTATCTATAGAATGATTTGGGTGCCACAGTTGGACTGGCCATGCTCAAGCTGGAAAGGAGTGGCATGTGTGTAGGTCCGGTGTGCCATGTCCATTGCGACCAAGAGCAAGATGGCAAATCAACGTGCATAGATCTCCATGGGTGGTCCATAATATATACTGTTCAAATCCCGGCATGCAACTGTACACTAACGAAAATGATCCATCCTTCACGTATGTACCATTATCCTAGCAAACTATACATGATTCGAGATCCAACGGGGAAGGAACCCCGTGGAAAGTATATATATGATATCGAAGATTCGCTTCTGACGGTCAGAAACGATGGGCCACTACGACGTTACCATTGGACTATTGCCCAGCTTTCCAGAACACACACGTACGCTAAAAAATATCACTGACGCTTGGGTCTCATATCCAGCCGTATATTCTTGGTCCGAGGTAAATGGCTACGTGCACCTTTGAATGCGGGCCAAAAGACCAGTATATAAGGCCCCTCCCAATGCTCCATCTTATACAGATGCTAAGCCTTTCATGTAGGCAAAAAATCTTATGTGGCATGTTATTTAAGAAGAGAGAGATGAGTATGGTGACCCCTGGAAGAAACAATGCTAAGCACGTGAACCTAGGCAAAATATTTAAATGAAGGAAGCCCACCAATACATGAAGATCTTTAGTTGCTAAATCATTAAATGAAGCAAGTTGCTAAGCTATTTAATATGCTTAGCACCTCATCTAAGTAAAGTTTGGGTGCAACTTAAAAACCACGTGGAAATGATTTACGTGGATCAGATGGTCGCCCTACTAGCTAGTACGAGAGAAGCATGAAAAGATCAGTATGCAAAAAGTGAGTGCATCGACTGATAGTAAGCGAGCGTATATACCTCCGGTGGTGTTGAACTCTTTGAAGACGTCATTATTGCTTCGCAACTTCCGGTGCATCCAACCCAGGAGCTGTGACACCAAGAACACGAGAACACAAGATGGTGATGAACTGATGGATGAAACTGCCATTCGTATCAACTAAACTGAAGAGAACCGGGCCTCGATGAAAACGTTTTCTCATGATTAATTAGATCGCAAATCACGAAGCAATAAACAGAAAACAGCGAAGCGAGAAGAGGGCATGATCGCTGCATGGCTTTCGCCCTGCAATGCTCGAGATGAAAACAGCCGAGGCGGCCAACATGAAGGAAAGAAACGAAACAAAGGGTAAGCAGTGAAAGGGCGGGAAAGCAGCATCCATCCGGCACCCGAAGCAGAGAAACCCAAAGTAAAAGGAAAACCAGTGGCTCCAAGAGATCGTACTGCCTCCATTCCTAAATATAAGACGTTTGGGCAGTTCAATTTAAACTGCCAAAACGTCTGATATTTACGAACGGAGCTGGTGTAGATAATAAGAAAAATAATAAGGAAATGCGTAGTAGCGATATGATCTTGAGGAAGGAAGGAAGCAAGCAAGCAAGGGAGGGAGGCGCTGACGGCATACCGTCATGTTGGAGAGGCTGGCG